GCCAATGAATATTATTCTAGTTATTTAAGTCATTCTTTACTTCTTAAAGAGTATTTCCAACAAACATTTATTAAGCATCTGCCAGGTACCAGGTCTAGGGCCAGGTGCTGGGAATCCAAAGACAAAAACAAAAACAAAATACTCCTTTCACTTCAAGAGCCTACTGGGAGGTGGAAGGTGGGAGGGGAGGGGAGGGGAGATACATGTAAACAGGTATGTAGATATAGATACAGAGAGAGATACATGTAGATATAGATATATAGATACAAGTATACATAGAGAGGTACACGTAAATATAGAGAAAGCTACATGTAAACATATATGTACATGTATTTGTTTTTTGAAAGAATGAGAACTAACAACTAAGGGGATTAGGAAAGGCTTCCCATAGGAGATGACACATTTGATGAGCCTTGAAGAGGTTTCTAAGAGATAGCAGTGAGAAAGTATAGGGGACAGCTTGTGCAAAGGAGGGAAGTGGGATGTGGAGTTCAAGAAATAGCAAATAGGCCAGATTGGCTGAAGTGTGGAGGTTACTGATCTGTAACAACAACAATAATAATGACTAACATTTCAGCAGTGTTTACTATGTGATGGGCACTGTGCTAAACACTTCACAATTATTATCTTATTTGATCCTCACAATAACCCTAGGAGGTTTGGTGCTAATATTATCCCCATTTTACAGATGGGGAAATTGAGGCAAATAGAGGTCAAATGACTTGCCCAGGGTCATACAGTTAGTAAGCACCTGGGGCTGGATCTGAACTCAGGCCTTCTGAATCCAGGCCTAGCACTCTATCCACTGTACCATCTTGCAACAAGTCTAGAAAAGAAAGTTATGGCTTATATATGCTAAGCTCAGTTTATATTTTTCCTAGAAACAATAGGGAGCCCTTGAAACTTCTTGAGGACGGGAGTGAAAGATATTTTTGTATTTTAGGAATATTAATTTGGAAGTATAGACCACTCTCACAACCACCTGCCCTTGACCTGTTAATTTAGTTCAATGGACATGGATAAAAGGCCTATTATATGCTAGGACCTAAAGAAACAAAGACAAAAATGAAACAGTCTCTGCCTTCAAAGAGCTTACATTCTACTGAGAGATACAAAATATACACAATTAATTAAATCCAAAGTGATTTGAGGAAGGTAAGAGAGTTAAACAACTGGAGCAGGTGCGGACACAATGTGGAGAGGAGGTGGTATCTAAAGTGAACCTTGAGGAAGACTAAAGTTCTGAGAAGCAGTGATGAGGAGGGAACTGTTTGGAGGGATCCTCAGAAGTGGGAAATGGATTGTAGAGTTTGAGGAATGCCAAATAGTCTAGTTTGGTGAGAATGTGGCATTCCTGAAGGACAGTAGTATGAAGTAAGAATGGAAAGGGAAATGAGAGCCAAGGCGTGGAGGGTTTTTCATGCCCAGTAATATCTTACTTTCCTATATAAGTCAACAGAAGGAAGGACCATTGAACCATAGAAACTATAATACTGACCCTCCTCCTGAGGCTAGGCCCCAGTGTTGGTGACAGTATCTTTCCCAGGTCAGTGGGCTGGTTTCCTGCCATAGGAACAAATATCAGTGCCAGCAAAGGCCACAAGACACCTGGGAAAGTGACATGGCCAACATATCACAGTCCTCCACCCTAGGTAACTTTTGATTTCTCTTCTAACTTAAAATCTATGTTCTGTTGACACTCCCCCCACCCAAGTGATCCCAGGAAGAAACACAAAAAGTGCTTTACCATTGAGATTACATCCCATTTTACATTGTATATATCTCATATGTACATGGTTGTTTGTATGTTGTCTCCCTTGTTTTTGCCTTTTTTTCTAACCTCTTCCCTTAGCATAGTGCCTGACATGTAGTAAAATTTTGTTTGTTGATTGACTGCCTGACAAACCCACATCAAGGAAAGACTTCTCTGGTTCTCAGACAACACAACTGTGTCCCTCCTGAATTCTAGATCTGACTTTTGCTCTGTGAAAAATCCAGCCCACTTAAATGCACCAAGACTGCAGCCAGATTAATAATCCACCAGCAATTGATGCCATCTCTGCTACTTAAATGTCTCCTCTAATAACAATGGCAGAATAATTGCTTAAAATACTTTTCACTTGGCCTCTGTTCAACTTCTCTGGTTATAGTGCTAAAGTACATTCCCTGGGATATACCTGCCTTTATTATGAACCTATCTCTTCTCCCCATGGACACAGTCATCCTTTACCAATAGATTCAACAGTCTGCTGCCCAAGCTCCAACTATTCTCTTCCAAGGACATAATTTTTCTTTCCATGAACATCCATGTGTTCTTCAGGTACTTCCCAGGGAAATACCTCTTTGTATTTGACCTCTCTGTCCTACATACATATCTATTCCTCCCATATCCAACATCACACTCATTATTTCCCATAAATATTCCTGGGATACACTCAGCCTTAATCATTTCAATGAAATTTTATTAAGTACTCACAAAACATAGGTCAATGTGCTAGGCACTGGGGAGATACAAAGTTTGGCATTTACAGTTTGTGTTATCCCCTGCATCTACATGAATTATAACTCCTCTACAACTCAGTGGAGAGTCTTTGAAAGTTGCTATGGCCAAAAACTTCATTGCCCTGTGGCTAACCTAGAGATGAGCTTCTCTGAATTTAGCTAGGCTGATCCTCAAGTGGCAGACATAAAGTCTGTCATCAGACTCAGTAGGTCTTCCCAGAGCTTAAGCAGAAGCAGTACTTACATACCCTTTAAGGACACCAAGATCTTGGATGCTGAAGACAGGGTAAGTATTGTTGCACTTGCAAAACGAATAAAGTCAGGAAGGTCTGGTTTAGGGATAAAGAGGATGAATTTAGCTTCAGAAACAATGAGCTTGAGATGGCATGCAGATGGAGATATCCTGTGGGTAGTGGGAAACACCAGATGAAAGTTCAGGAGGTTAGAGATAGGGAGTTAGGAGTAAACTGCATAGAGACAACAGAAGAGGACTTTAGGGGACATAAGCAAAAAAGCATAATAAAAAAAGTGTCCCCTTATTCAGTCACTGTTTTCTATTCACAAGGCACTGGCCTAGACTCTGGGGGAGATTCAAAGATAAATAGGGCACAGTTCTTGCCTTTAATCATAATCTAGTAGTGGAGTGAAGACAAAAATTGAAAACAATAAGAGCCTAAGAAAGGTTTAAAGTACTCTGAGTGCTCTTTCTAAGGAAAGAAAGTAAATTTCTGCTTGGGAAGAATTGGGGTAGGCTTAATGAAGGAGTTAAGATTTCAGCTGTCAAGAGGGTCGACAGGTGGGGCTGGAGGTGAGAATCATAGATCTGAAGTAGGAAGAGACCTCAGGAGCCATCCAGCACAGCCCCCTCATTCTGCAGAAGAAACTGAGGCCAAGGGAGGTTAAACTTTCCCCAGGTTCCCCAAATAACAAGCCCTGGAGGTGAGATTTGAACCTTGGTCTTTTGCCACCAGAACCAGTGAGTGTTCTTTCTACAAAGGGTTTTTTGTTGGGTTTTTTTTGGCTAGGCAATGGGGCTAAGTGACTTGCCCAGGGTCACATAGCTATTAAGTGTTATGTGTCTGAGGCCACATTTGAACTCAGGTCCTCCTGAATCCAGGGCTGGTGCTCTATCCACTGCGTCACCTAGCTGCCCCTACTAAGCTTCTTCTTGAGGAGAAGGCATCACTACCTTGCCCTTCAAGGGCATTCAAGGCATAGAAGAAACAATGTTAATAAAGTTACAGAATACAGAAAAAGTAACACAAGGACATAAAACAGGTCCGTCTGGCTGGAGTGAAGAGTATGTGGAGGAGTAGAAGGAGAAGGGGTTGAAAAGTTAAGGTGATGTAAAGTTTTTGAGGGTCTTAGTTACCAAGCAAAGGAAAACTTTGCTCAGTAGATGCCAATGAGAACCAATAGAAAGGTTTTGAACAGAGGAGTAACATTGCCAGGAATCATTAGAAAGATTAGTCTGTTGGGAATGTGAAGGATAAAGAAAGGGGAGAAGGGGAGGGAAGAGTGGGGGGCAGGAAAATCTTTTAGGAGGCTATTGTAGTACAGTGGTTGGCAGTGAGAGCCCAGTGGGAGGCTAGGGGTGGTAGGAATAAAGGGGAAGGGATGGATGTGGACGATTGCAAAAGTAGAGTCAACAGGGTGTGGTAACTGGATATGAGAAATGAAGAAAGGGAAAGAGCCAGAGACAGTCACCAAGGTCTTGAACGTGGAAGGCAGGGTAAATATTGTTGTACTTGCAAAAAGAATAAAGTCAGGAAGGGCTGGTTTGGGAGTAAAGAGGATGAATTTAGTTTCATAAGCAATGTGCCTGAGATGGCAGCCAGTGGAGATATTCTGTTGGCAGTGGGAAATACCAGATGAAAGTTCAGGAGAAGTCAGGGTTGGAGATAGGGATTTGGGAGTCAACTGCATAGAGATAGCTGAAGCCAGGGAGTGACTAAAATTGTCAAGAGAGAGCAAAGAGACAGAAGAAAACAAGGCCAAGGACACCCTGGAGAACACTCAAGTTATGGGGGTAGGGCATCCTGAGCAGCCAGCACAGTTTGGGAAACAGCAGAATGTCACCGAAGCCAAGTCAGAGAGCTTCCCAAGCCATGGGAGCTAACAGGGTGAAAAGGAAAAGAGACTGAGAGATTATTCTTCTCCCTATGGACAGGCTAGAAGACAACACCAGACTGTCAGTCCAGAGCCTGAGGTTCACCATGCTTCTTTGCTAACTTGCTGCAGGCACTAGGCCAAGTCACTCAATCTTCCCTCTTTTGATTATCTCCGATGTATCCTGTAGAGAGCTTGACTGACTGCATATGCTTGCATGTTGTCTCTATTAGACTGTGAGCTCTTTGAACGCAGGGGCTTTTTTTTTTTTTTTTTTTTTTTTTTTTTTTTTTTTTTTTTTTTT